ATCTTGCTAAATTAATCGTTCGTTAGCTACGCGTTTACATATAATATATTATATACGTCTTCTCAGTCCCCTCACAAGCTTAAATTCTACGCAAACGACCCATCATTTTTCTTTCTTTCTTTCTTTCTTTCTTTTTTTTTTTTTTTTCACTCGCTTAATTGCACGAAAATTATCAAATACGTCTCGACTTTCCAATTCTCTCGATCAAACTTTTACCATTTTTCTAAGAAAGAACAATGTTCTCGATTTATTTTCTAATCCATTTTTGACCCGTGTAGCAGCGGGTGGCTCGGGATATCCAGTCGATATTTCGTTATTTCCTTTTTCCCCCTATTTTTATCCTCGAACCTACTTTTTTTCTTTTCGATCGAGACGCGAGACTGATGCGTAATTAAGCTTTCCTTGCTTCTCCTAATCGTTCATATCGACGTCGCCCCGCCCCCTAAAGTCTACTAGAGAAATATCTATCTTACGTAGAAAAAGTCCTCGTGCGCACTGTCGCGCCGGAGAGAACTTTGCGGCTGAGAATCACATCCATCGATCTATCCTTCTCGTTGTCGAAGTAATTATAAATGATGTTTAAGGGGATGGAAGCGATAACAGTTCCTTTTCTTTTTTTCTTTCTTGTTTTTTCTTCGAACAAACTTTGCTTCGGTTGATACGTACAACTAGCTCTCATCGTTGAAGGTTAGATTACAAATGGATGGAAGTAAGGTTATGTTGGAAAAAAATCGATTTTCACCATCACTTTCTAGATACGAATACTACGCGATAAAACGATCACTCTTCAATAAATTAACTAGGACGCTACTTAAGTAACAAATTATCACGAGATATGCAATTAAATAGTCTATCTATAATTGCTACGATAGAAGCGAGATACGAAACTTCCCATTCGCACAACGAGGTTAACTATCCTTACGACGTTCATTGTTATCGGTTCGAATCGATATATCACAACATCGTCGCTATAAAATACAAAATATCTAACTAACGTATCGTTTACTTTTTTTGTTTTCTTTTATTTTTTTTTTTTTTTTTTTTTTTTTTTTTTTTTTTTTTTTTCCTTTTTAGAATTAAGAGTCGATCTTTCCTCTTCGTTCGGAGACACGTGTGATCCCAGCCGCAATGAATTTCGACCGGCGGAATTTCGATTCGTGCGGACGAATTTTTTTTAATGCACTTTCGGTTCAAGGCAGCTCGAGACGCTATTAGAAAATGTTTTTCACGTGGATGCCCCGAGAGAAATCGGCGCGACGCGAGCTCGACGTTGGACGCCGTTTTTTTGAGCGGAAACCCAATTGGCTGGACTCTCAGCTGGTAAAAGCGATTCACCAGGCGTAGCGACGAAAGATTTCTCTCAATTCGTTTTTTTTTTTTTTTTTTTATTCATCTTTATTATTTCGTGAAAAACTCACGAAAACTTTGATATTTTCAAATTATTTCGTCGAAATATAATTTGAAATTAAGAGTAATCTTTCCTCGCGAATCTGTGTTTTGAAAGCCGATCTAACCACGACCTTTCACCCCATTATTAGGAAGACCTAACACTACTTTGTAATCCTTCTATCCTAATTGGCACTCTACTCTATTTGCACCCACGAAATCGTACGCTGACCATTTCCGAATCACGTATCTTTTTTTTTTAATAATTTCCCCAAGCTTTCTAATACGACTAAATACTCTTTTACAAAACCTATTTCCTTTTTTTTTTTTGTTACGATATAATAAAATATTACAATTTAATAAGTTAATAAAGAGGAACTTTGAGAACGTACTACACACGAATTTTAATATTATAAAAATTCTACATTGATCGATACGTGATTCTTGATCGTCAATTTCTACAAATCTCGTACAATTTTTAATTAAAATAGAAAAAAAAAAAAAAAAAAAAAACAAAAGTCACGCGGTGAGAAGTGCGTAATGTACACGTATCCCGAACCACCCTGGTTTCGTTTCGTTATAATTCTATGAATTTTTAAATTTTCTTTTTTTTTTTTTTGTTGTTCGTTATTTAATCATCGGCGTTGAATGCCCGCGCGTTTTAACAAAATAAGAACACCAAGAGTCTCGTTACAATCCCTATTGGCATCGAGGAAAGTATTAAAATTCCTTATACATCTATCGTGATTTCTTTCGAACACTTTGCGCGAATCACTTTTGCCGAAGGAAGCTCTAGATCGTCTAAAATAAATTTATTAATCGTCTAATCGTTTAACGAGGCTCGATTATTTTTTTCCCTTTTCTCGCGATAAAATGAAATATCGTCAAAGATGGTTGGCGAAGAGTTCGAAAGAAAGTGTGCAAAATCCTCGGATCGATCGTATCTAGGGGTCCAAGGATCGATGAATTCGACTGTCTCTCTGCCCCTGTGCGTGATGTAACAACTATGAATGCCTAGAGTGGAGCGCCCTCTTCTAAATCGCTCGTATTACAGTATGCAGTGGCGCCATCTCGTTTTTTTAAATAAAAACGTTCTAATAAAGCTTTCTTCATTTATCTAAAAAACAATTAATCTTTTAAGGTATATACATATGTATATGTATATATATATATATATATATATATAATTAAAACATTTGTGCATCGTGTAACAACGAACGATTCAGTGAACAATTATTAATAATCTAAAAAAACAAAGAGCGATCCACCCTGAGCGTGCGTTTTACGTACCCTATTCGCCTCGCGTCGTAATTAATATTTTATTCATATTTACACTAAAGAATCGTTCTTCTCCCGTAGTAACCATAAAGCGATTAGTTAGTTTAGTTAGTTTAGTTAGTGAGTGAATTAAGTAATAGTCAGCAATAGCAACGCCCCTCCACTGGGCACGATGTGCCTTGTTCTTAATAATCGAGATAGGCGATTTAATAGTAACAGCTGTATGCGGTCGTCCTTCGTTTTACAATTAATAGTTAAGAGTAGCAGTAACATAGTAGTAGTTTAGCTTACAATATAGCGTTATTAATTAGTAATAATAGTAATAGTAATAGTAGTAATAGTAATAGTAGTAGTAATAGTAGTAATAGTAGTTGTAGTAGTAGTATTAATAATAGTAATAGTAGTAGTAATTATAGTAGTAATAGTAATAGTGATATTAGTAATAGTAATAGTATTAATAATAGTGGTAGAGTGGTGGTAGTGCTGTGATGATAAGTTTTTCCCAA